AGTATGGGACTTCTCAGCAGTGCGCATCCACGATCCGGCCTTCCGAGACATCCGAACCCAGGACCTATCAGTCTCGCGCACGAGCGATCCACGAAGTTGTGCCACCGTACACCATTGTCTTCAGTGAGTTGATATCTCACAACAGACCTTGTTGAACTCCACTAATAACGGCTTCTCACTAGAACTCCAGGAGTCTCTTGAAGTCAGTCACTAGTGAACAGATGATTATTATCAGAAGGAGTTTCGTGGAGATTTGTTTCTGATAACAATCATCTGCTCACTAGTGACTGACTTCAAGAGACAATGGTGTACGGTGGCGCAATTTCGTGGATTGTCTGAAGTTAGACATTAACACTGTTGGATGCCGGCCGGCTCAGTGGTCTAATGGTCAAGCGCTCGCACGCGAGACCGATAGGTCCTTGATCCGAATCTTGCGGGGGCGGGATCATGGATGCGCCCATACTAGGACGAAATGGCCGTCCAGTGCTTCCAGGTTTTCCATGGTGGTCTAGCTTCAAATGACTCATGATTTCAACTAGTAAAATTCCTAAAATCTCCACAAAACCTCTTTTGAAAATAAATTTAGGCAAAAATGAAACAAATGAAATTGTCTTAAACTGTTTAAATTGATCTTCGTTATTTAAACTAATCAGTTAAGGAGTGGAAAAAAGAACCCATTGCTCGAGCGAATTTTGAAGAAGAAGAAGAAGAAGAAGAAGGCATATTCGACCTTTCAAAAGCTTGAAGGTAAACTAAACAGACTGTCAGTTCGGTCGGTTTCGTTCACATCAAGAATGACTCGAAGATCGAAACTTGACTAGAGATTGCTTGGATTTAGAGTAGTATAAATTTTGAATAATTTATCCCCTCTCCGTTAAAAAGATTAAGGACATATTAATAAAGTTAAAAAGAATCAACTGCAGTTAGAGAAAAAACTTCTCGGAAAAAGCTATTATTTTGATTGCATTTGTTCTAGAAAACGTGATATCCTCATATACAGTTAAAAATATACTTGCGATCGATAATACATCAACATTCCTCAATAATAATTCTCAAACCATGTTGTTAGGTATGACTAGTGGCAGAATAAGGACAAATTTCGGCAGTCCAGTTCTTTTCGAATTTTGAATGATATCGCCTCTCAAGCAAGATTATTATTATTATTATTATTATATGTATCAAACGATCCTTTTGGAAAATCGTTAACTTACTGTTTATTTACTTACTGATAATAAACAATAAAAATTTAATTTAAGAAAAGAAATAAATCACACACTAGTGGGAATTTATTCTCTATCCAACCATGGAGTTTAACCTTTACTAATAAAACTAGGTACTATCCGTTGTTATAGTTACCAAACGTTGTTATTAGGCGCTTTAACCAACCGGATTACAGATATGAAATAAAAAGCAGGTGAGAATGCGCATCAACCTTGGTATATATATATATATTGCAGGAAAAGCTCAGTGTGAAAAATCCAAGGCTTATACTATCATCTTAAAATCAAGAACACTGAAGACAAATGGAAAATATACCCAAGAACCCAAAAACCACCTTTTTCTTATTCGAGCTGCTATCAACAATTTGTTCAATGTTAATAATAATTGCCATTGTGATCTGTGAATTATACACATATAACATAAGAATTGTCCCACTGACATTTTATGCAGGTTACTGGACAAGTCCATTTATCTTATTTACTGCCGTAATTTATTCTATTGAAAAAAGTAGACAAGATGGAAAATTTTACAAACTAGCCATATCCTTCGCTTTATTCAGCCTGCTTGTATGTTTAGTCGGTATTATGCTCTCGTTATTTACAATATATTGGATTATTGACATAATAGATGCACAAGTTTATTATGAATATCGGGTAGAAATCATTGTTCAAACTGCATTGCTTATTTTGGCTAGTGGAATATGTCTAATGGATGTTTTCTCATTGACATGTTGTTGCTGTTCAAATGTTTCAACCGTATCAAAAGACACAATTACTCATCAAAATAATTTGAGAACTCATTCGAAAAATACACAACAATTACCAACTCAAATTACTAATGTCACAGATCCTTTACAACTACATTCTTACCCCCAAGGATATCAAGTAAACCAAGGTTATGATCAGAATTATAGTCAACCTAATAACTTCCCACCACCTTATAGTTAATAGCAGGAACCTTAAAATACATTCAGTTATAAAATTCTTTACTGTAAAGTAGAAATTCCACGTGAAGTGGCTTTGAAAATTAATACACCTGTCATCGATACTAACTACAAACCTGCACCTCAACATTTGGTATAAAAGAAATTCCCACTCATTCTAATCACTTGTAAAGTAAAATGCTCATTTCCTTTCAGATTCTGGTTTTATTTACATAGAAATAGTGAGCCCCGAATAAAATGAGGCGATTTATGAAAAAATACTGCACAGACTTGTGTTTGACGAAAGATCTCCATTTTACATAATTGCAGTGTAGCCTTTTGAAAGTTAACGAAACCAAATGTAAATTAAGTAATCCACAACAAATACATACACATTCCGCACGAGATGCCGATACTTCCATCCTTTCCAAACGGAGTTAGTTTCGGAACCGCGACTAAATGACTGAAAACCAAACACCTTAAGCACTAGACTATTACCAACCATTGTCGGTTACTCGAATAATCCTAAGTACTTTGTGTTTCAATAATGACAGTGATGCTTTTTGTTTCTGTAGACTATTCGATTTGATTTCTTTGAAGCGTCGGTTTTGTTTTATTACAAGATGTTTATTATGCATACAACAGTTACAGTTACGATACAGACCCCTCAATTTTAAATGTTTCAGGTCTCAACATTCAGACCAATTATTAACACCAAACACTCCCCATTGTCTTAACTGACTTATAAATACCATAAATACGACAGCGAGCTATCAGAGAGCAGCAAAAATGTAAAGGAGTGATTTAGTTATGTTCGCTAGCCAAAACAGCTGATCAAGTAATATCGCGAATTATATACACATAGTATATTACTGACTAATTACCGAAAATTATATGCAATTAAATTTAACCATTGATGAGATATTTAAGACGACATATACCTCAATATCAGATTTGTCCGCTGTTAATTAGTGGTTGTTGCATGAATAGAAATTCACTCGCAAAATACTTCCTCCCCGAGTCCAATAATATCAATCTGTGACAAGTAAAAGATTTTTTATAGTCATAACAACTAGCTATACAAGTAGCAGTATTAGCATTTCACAAAGTTACAACACAAATAGTTAAACCCTTTTCGAGACATTACTGTTCAATAGCACAATGGGGCTATTTTATTCATTACTTTGTGCTTAGCTTCTGGGGACATATTAAAGGTTCCAATTTACAATTTACCTTAAATAAGTATGTGACCTACACTTTGTATGATCGACTATAAGCTTAAAAAAGTAGGCTTTTAATTAAAACTTTTAATCGACTAAAAGTAACTAAGTTAGAACGACAACTTCATAACAAGCCACGCTATGTGCGCCCGTAATCCAAATAAAACTAAAAGTACGTAATGCCTGAGGATACCGAATAATTGAGCGTGTCGATCGCTTCACTTATCTTGGAAGTCTCATCAGCCCTTGTGGTCTGGTGTGTGACGAAATCTCAGCACGGATACAGAAGGCTCGACTAGCTTTTACCAACTTGCGTCATTTATGGCGTAGGCGAGATATCCGTCTATCAACCAAAGGACGGGTTTACTGCGCAGCAGTTCGTTCCGTCCTACTTTATGGCAGTGAAACATGGCCGGTAAGAGTAGAGGATATCCGTAAGTTACTAGTATTTGATCATAGGTGTCTTCGAAATATTGCTCGTATATCCTGGGACTATCGAGTAAGTAACGCAGTTGTTAGGAAACGGGTACTAGGTAAGGATGGCAAATCAATTGATGAAGTAGTGAAACTTCATCAGTTGAGATGGCTTGGACATATGTTACTTATGCCCAACCACCGACTGCCTCGACGTGCGATGTTTTGTTGTATAGGAGTAGGTTGGAAGAAAGCTAGGGGCGGCCAAACCAAAACATGGCACAAGTCCATGAATTCACTGACAAGTGGACTGAGTCATGTTGGTAGGTGTAGACTACCTGGTTGGGGACCGCGAGATGATAGCAACCTATGGTTAGAGACCTTGAATGACATGGCTCAAAACCGTTTGCAATGGCGCAGGTGCATACGCTCTTTGTGTTCTCCCAAATTTTGATTTCTTTATTCCTCCTTGTCTCTTTTTTTTCTCTTCCCAAATTTATTTCACTGTATTATACTCTTTAAATAACATCTCCAAACACTAATCTTCCCGATTAGTACTTATACTCTTATTACCTTTACCACTACGGGATTTGAATCGGCCACTACATCTGTGTGCTAATGTGGTGTGGCAACTCGAACTGATGTACGTACGTACGAAGTTCTACGTTGTTACTGACTGATACCGAATAACTATAAACCGGATTGTATCCAAAAGTTATCGTAACACGTTACATGTTTGGTGAATCACCTTCGTCAAGCTCTCTAACAACATTCTAGTACACTTAAAATAAAAGTATCAATTCAATATTAAAACATCTGATTACTATTAAAAGCAAATTTACATTTGGAAAAGAAATGAAATGAGTTTATGGGATTCTAAATATTTTAGTAAGTGCTATGAAACCACAAAATATACGTATTATACGGTAGAACAAACGATTTGATATTTTTTAAAAGAAGAGTGTACTCACTCTTAGTAAGATTAACGGCTAGCCCTATTGATATACTTTAATACACAGGTTCAGTGTGTATATTTCTCTTCCCTACGACTCATGTAACCAACTGAAGTTTACACTCATTTATAGCAAATAATTTACAAATGTTATCCTTAAATAACTTACGTTTTATGAAAACAATACGTATGTTATCAAAATAATAACATCAGTGAGATAACGAGAACGGAATGAACAAATTTTATACATTAGCGCGTAGGTTTAAAGAAGTTACAAAGAAGAATCTAGTCTAGCGGCGTGTGTTCGAATTTTTCCGAAAATTTTGTTCGGCGGAGCGCCCAATATCAGATCACATATTGCACGTCGGGCCACTGCTATGCGGTCATTGCTTCCTAGAATATGGATGGTTTCATCGGCAACGACTATGCGAGTCCGTGTAGCGTTTTCAATACACATACGAATACGACCTTTAGCACCGCAAATACGCCCCACTGCTCGAGCCATGTGATCACCCTGAAAAACAATTATCAGAAACCGTATTAGAAATGATATTAATCAAACGGTATCGTGTGACACATGCTATATTAAAAGTTTTGGCTTAACACTTCAGGGAATTCGTTATAAACTGAGCTCGGACTCTAACCTGACATTTGTTCAAGCGGATGGTATTACGCAGAAAAATGGTATTTGTTGTTTGGAGTTTTTTCTGCTTACCTTGATTTGAGTAGCCACGAGTTATCACCATCTGTTGCAGGAAAATGGTTCAAAATCGGGCATACGAACTCATACATCGCAAATGAGTTGCATAACCAACTTTCTGAGTCTACAAATTACTACTGACCAGACTTAAAGTTCAACTGCAACGTTTTTAGCCCACTTGTAAACCACAATTTGTGGGAAGCACTAGCATCGATGAACAAACTTTTTTAGTAGAATTACAGGCTGGTTCAATTGCTCTACGACAGGAGAACTATAATGACTTACATTTTAATGATTTTCGACAATTAAGGTCTACATTAAGAGCCTGTAGTTCATGTATTATGTAACTGACGAAAAGTTTGATATTTGTGTCTAATGTTTCCAAAATCTGATGTTCTAAACTAAATTTCGAACGCTTCAGTATTAATTTACTTCAATACCACAACGGAATTTTATAAATAAACCAGGAAGTGTACTTGAGACTGGTTTTGAACGAATGATACTGCATACTTTCCAATGACTCATTGTCACTTGAAACTCATAAACGTCAAACTAAGTATATTTTGACCTAACAGTTACTGCATATATGTATTATTTACCAGAATCAGGACCTTGACATCCACACTAAAGAAACATTAGCTAAGCTCTGAAAATCCTTATTACTCATGACGGGAGTTGTAATACTATACTTAAGAGAATAGTCAACCATGGTTGCAGGACTTAAAAACAATTGTTCGTATCTAAGTTGATGGATGAAAAACGTTAACTTACTCTGAGTGTTTGTTTCACATCCATTATGTGGAATGAATTGACGTAGATACCATCTATTCTGACCACAGCTAATGCGTCTTCGTACTTAAAGCCTTTCAGAAAAGCGCTCACGAAGTCACAACCCTTCTGTAAGTGCTGGGCATCTCTTGTTTCTGAAGATGGTTTGACAAATACTTTCCATAATTTCTTATCTGTTTTCATGCATACCATAAGTTTGAGCTGCTTTGTTAACACCTACTAGAAACTTTAGACAACATACAGATTTGTACCTCAACAATTGAAGGCCACGAATTGCGGATTGGTGTCCTGCGGTTTTTAGGGACAATCAAGGTCCTAACTTCACCAAGTTTGTTCTCCGGGGCTGTCATGTGCAGATTTACAAACTGAGCGCCGGAGGTCATTAGGCATTGGCAATGATCACATGCTATAAAATGACTGTGGGTAAAATCTTTCACCACGTTAAACATCTTTGCTAAAATCTCGGTGCTCGAACCCCTTCCGTATAAATCCATTCTGAATCAAACTTCCCAAAATAAAATCGCTTGATGACATCTTTCGGGACGGTCAAGAAGTTAAGCCATCAGTTTCCGCGCACACGTTGCATGTTGTCGAGATTTCTGAATGTCGTTGTTTATCAGCCATTAACAGCATTTTTCCGTCACACGTCAATTTTCGTAATGTTTGTGCTAGTTACATAGCACTTGTTCTATATATTGGCAGTTACACATTTGTTTTTTTAGACAGCCTAATGTGGTTATTTGTGACAATCCAAACTCAAGTAAATAAATTCACCATTTGTCAAGTCAAAAATAGACTGCAATCAGAGTTTTAGGAAAAAATGAGCCCTAAACCCTTTTACACTTGATTCACATCCCTATCTGTGATGATGAACATGAATGTTGGTAGTTGTTTATAAAACGTAAGTTGAAGCAATTAGGCTTTTCACTAACTTTGAATATCATATGATATGTTAATATACAGACTTAAACAGTTCTATCCATTTTAACTATCATCATTTTTGACTGAATTGACATGTTATTATACAAGGTGTCTGAGAAAACTCCACCTGGCGCCTCTTTGAGGCTACTGCTGGTCCCAGGCGCGGATAAAAGAGAGGAATTGGGCATAAGGTTAGCGACTTCGTCCTGCAGAAAGCTAATTTGCTAAAAAAAACGCTAACCAGAAAAAATTATTCAGATCTTTTAAACTCTGCCATGGGAGCCAGAAGGTTTTCATTTAGAAGAGTTATGATGCCTCATGGTGAAAACCGAGTTTCTTCGGAAGCCACGAGGCTGATACTTCTGACAACCAAAGCAACCATTTATTTAGGTACATGGAATACTCTACAATGTAGAAGAACGGGAGAATCCTACAAGCTGCTGCAGAAATGAAGAGATCAACCTGGAGGTGAAAGTCATTATACGAAAGTTGGACAAAAACGAATAGATTCAGGGGAGCTTCTGTTATACTCCGGCCATGATGAAGAAAATGCCCCACATACACAAGGAGTTGCATTGGTGCTGTCCAAACAAGCGTAAAATGCACTTACAAGATGGGAATCTCATGGACCAAGGATCATCAAAGCCTTCTTCAAAACAAAGAAAGAGGGCATTACAATGAACGTCATCCAATGCTACCCGCCTACCAACGACTACAATGAAGACGCTAAAGACCAATTCTACGACAGACTGCAGACACTCGTCGAGAAGTGCCCAACAAATGACTCGACCATTCTGATGGGAGATTTAAATACCAAGGTTGGAATGGACAACACCGGATATGAAGACATCATGGGACTGGGAGGAAGGAACGAAAATGGTGAGAGATTTGCAAACCTATGTGCCTTCAATCAACTGGTCATAGGCGGCACTATATTCCTACACAAACGCATACACAAAACCACATGAACTTCACCGGATCACACTACGCAGAACCAAATCGACAATATCTGCATCAGCACATAGTTCAGGAGGACGATGGAGGAAGCGAGAACCAAGAGAGGAGCTGATATAGCATCAGATCATCACTTGCTGGTCGCCAAGATGAAACTGAAACTTAACAAGCACCAGACAACATTACAGCAGAGGCACTGGAAGCAGATGTAGCAGTAACTGCAAACAAATGAAAATTCTGTTCAGCAAGATTCGGGATGAAGAACAAGTACCAACAGCCTGGAAAGAAGGACTTCTGAACAAAATACTAAAGAAAGGCCATCTCGGCAACTGTGGTGACTACAGGGGCATCACTCTTCTCTCAATACCAGGAAAAGTGTTCAGCAGGGTATTGTTAAACAGGATGAAGGACTGCGTAGACGCCCAACTTCGTGACCAACAGGCAGGATTCCGTAAGGATAGATCGTGTACAGACCAAATTGCAACACTACGGATTATTGTGGAACAATCAGTTGAATGGAATTCATCGCTCTACATCAACTTCATTGACTACGAGAAAGCATCTGATAGCGTGGACAGAACAACACTATGGAAGCTTCTTCAATACTACGGTGTACCTGAGAAGATAGTCAACATCATACGGAATTCCTGTGATGCATTACACTGCAAAATCGTGCATGGAGAACAGTTGGCAAAGTCGTTCGAAGTAAAGACCGGTGTCAGACAAGGTTGCTTACTCTCACCCTTTCTCTTTCTCCTGGTGATCGACTGAATTATAAAGACGTCAAAATCTGTAGGAGGAAGCATGGGATACAGTGGATATCTAGGATGCAGTTAGACGATCTAGACTTCGCAGATGATCTGGTTCTTTTATCGCAGACACAACAACAAATATAGAGATCACGACCAGTGTAGCAGCAGCCTCAGCAGCAATAGGTCTCAATATACACAAAGGGAAAAGCAAGATTCTCCGATACAACACAGAATGCACCAATCCAATCACAATTGACGGAGAAGATTTGGAAGATGTAAATACCTTTACATATTTGGGCAGCATCATTGATGAACAGGGTGGATCTGATGCAAATGTGAAAGCGCGGATCGGTAAAGCAAGAGCAGCATATTTACAACTGAAGAACGTCCGAAACTCAAAACAACTGTCAACCAACACCAAGGTCAGGATTTTCAGCACAAATGTCAAGACAGTTCTACTGTATGGGGTGGAAACTTGGAGAATAACGGAAGCAATCATCCAGAAGATACAAGTGTTTATTAACAGTTGTCTACGCGAACTACTCCCGATCCGTTGGCCAGACATTATCAGCAACAACCCACTATATGAGAGATTAAACCAGATCCTATCAAAGGAAGAATTCAGGAAGAAGCGCTGGAAGTGGATAGGACACACATTGAGGAAAGCAGTCAACTGCGTCACAAAGCAAGCCCTCACTTGGAATCCTCAAGGCCTGGATATGGAAGATTGTGTGAAGAAACAATCTACAAGCTGACAACTGTGTTTTATATTGACTACTGACACGTTTATTCATCTAATGGATTACTTGAATATGAATATACTCAGTCTTTTGCACCATAAATATGTATAATTGTAGTCTCATTCTATACTAATACTACTTTAATAATAAAGCTAATCCCAAAACGGTGAATTTGTCATGATGTGATTGTCTAATCTGTAATATCTTACTGTCTACACTGACTCATCGTATCGTGACAATTATCAATGATACTTAGTACTTCTGAAGGACACATTGGGCCTGGGGATAGAATAATATATTTAATATGAATATTAATAAGTTACACATAATGACCACTTCTGCATATTTGAGCCATGCCATCCTATTAAATGAATGTCTTCACGCCCAATACTGCAGACTTTCTCCATGAGTTACATGACTAATATACATCATTTCAGTCATTATATGCTTGGCTTGGAAAATCGTGTGATCAAAAAACGATTCCACTACAGGTATCCATCCGAATATACTGTCATAGTGAGGGAAATTATATATACATGCAACATTCTAGCGAAACTTCCAAACTGATCTAGTACTACAAGTTCTCTTAAAAAACGGGTACTTATAAAGCGAACACTTAGTAGTTCTTAATTTTCACAAACATTCACCCAGTAAGTTAATTGGTACATCTCCCATGAAACTACAACGAAGACGGGCTAAAGATGGGCTAAAGTTTATCGGTGCATCATCACTACTTTTACTTTGTGACTACCCATAATGCACAAATAATGACGCATGTTGCTGCTAGGTTTATCTCTATGACTTTAAACACTCTGCCACCGGACAAACTAAAGAGATGCATAATATTTGTTTGTGTTAGAAAGCAATGTGCTCAATGTAGCCAGTGCAAATAAGCCGTCTAAGAATTGTCTCTCAGTTAACGCTTTGGAAACAGAGAACACTAGGAGAGACATTACAGAAAGGTATAGAAAGCCGGCACAGTATTATACTAAATGATGAATTACATATCACCGTTCAAAAAATTGCTTCGCAACATTTCTTGTAAAGTAGTGGGAATATTCGGAAATTCAGGTTATTGAATACCGATGAAACTCATTTTCAGCATCCCAAAGAGAAATGCACATTTTTAGTGACGAGAATATTCATTTACATTTTTTAACGACAAAATATAGGCCAAATTTTAATTTATATGTAATCATGTTCATATTCAATATCTACTGTTTCTCTGTATCATTGGTAAAGGAACGGATATAACTGCTTGGTTGCACACTATCGTGATTGTTAAAAATAAACGCCATTTCAACCGTCTAGTCTACTGCTTCATTGACCACGGACTTTGACTGAAGAACGTGACAGTATTACAACATATTTTAGGTCATTTCACACTGAGCTGGAGTTTTGGCCTAGATCATCGCTAGATAATACTATTGGATGTAATCTTTCTCACTAAGCCTTTGGCGCCACTACTTATAAACATTGTTGATCAGTTGTCGGTTGTTAACTCAGAAGCAGCTTACAAGTGACGTTCACTTCATAACAATTGTAATCATCTTGTTATTTAATATACTATTTATATTGTTACTGCAAATTGTTACCGTTTTGCTTCACTTATAGACAGACACTTCGGTTTGTACGATCGATTCTTTTTTGTATATGATTGGTAAATTTGTGAATTGTAATATCTTGAATAAGCTCTATTGCTGGGACCCACCAGAAGTAGTGGAAACTAAAGAGTACTGGTAAATAATGTATCTTAGAAAGCACTACCTACATACGTGGTTCAGAGAACAAAGAGGGTTGTTTGATCTTAGGACTGAATATTTAT